CAAAAACTAGCCAGGCGTGGTAGCGCACGCCTGTAGTTCCAGCTACTTGGAAGGCTGAGCGGAAGGCTCATCGGAGCCCAGCAGGTCGAGGCTGCGGTGGCCGGGAACGGCTACTGCACTCCAGTCTGGGCAACAGAGTGAGACTTCAACTCAAAAAAAAAAAAAAAAAGATCAAAATCATGTCAAGCATCTTTGCCAACCACAACGGAATGAAACTGGAAATCAGCAATTGCAAGAAAACAGGAAAATTCACAAATACATGGAACCTAAACAATACACTACTATTAAACTAACACTGGGTCAAGTAGGACATCAAAAGGGAATCTTTTAAAACTCTCAAGACAAATGAAAATGAAACTACCACATACAAAAATGTACGAGATACAGCAAATGCAATACAAGAAGTCTGCAGAGTCAAACACCTATTATCAAAGAAAAAAGACCTCAAATAAACATCCTGCTTTACACCTCAAGGAACTAGAAAAGGAAGGGCAAACGAAGCTCAAAGTTAGCATAAGGAAGAAAGATGAGAGCAGAAATGGATCAAATAGAGAATGCAAAACAATTTAAAAAAAAAGTTTTTAAACTAAGAGCTGGTCGTGTGAAGAGATAAAGCCAAAAAACTCTTAGCTAGACAAAGAAAAAAAGAGAAGACTCAGATTAGTAAAATCAGAAATAAAAGCAGAGATATTATAATGAATGCCTCAAAAACAAAACTGACCATAAGGGACTATTATGAACACTTATATATATGCCAACAAATGGAATAACACAGAAGAAATGGATACATTCCAAAAAATATGTAACCTACCAAGAAAAATGAAGAAATATAAAGCCTAAATATACTCTGGGAGGCAGAGGTGAGAGGACTGCCTGAGGCCAGGGTCTCAAGACCAGCCTGGGCAACTTGGCGAGACCTCATCTCTACCACAAATCAAAAAATTAGCCAGGTGTGGTGGCACACACCTGTAGTTCCAGCTCCTTGGAAGGCTGAGGTGGAAGGATCGTCTGAGACCAGCAGGTCGAGGCTGCAGTGGCTATGAGCGTGCCACTGCACTCCAGCCTGGATGACAGAGTAAGGCTCTGACTCATAAATAAATAAAGCCTAAACAGACCAATAATAAAGAAACTGAAGCAGTAATCAGAAACCTCCAAAAAAAGAAAAAGCCAAGAACCAAATGACCTCGCAAATGAATCCTACCATACAAAGAATTATTGCCAGCCCTTCTTAAACCCCTCCAAAAAAAAAACAGAAGGAGGAATAGCTTCAAACTCATTTCAGAAGGTCAGCATCATCCTGACACCAAAACCAGACAAAGAACTAGAAGAAAACTATAGGCCAATATCTGTGATGAATATAGATGCAAAAGCCCTCAATAAAAATACTAGCAAACCAAATTCAACATTGCATAAAAAAGATTATACACTATGATCAAGTGGAATTCATTCCTGGGATGCAGGTTAGTTCAATATACACAAATCAATGTTGAACACATTAACAAGATAAAAGATTTTGTAAAACCTCATGATCATCTCAAT